ATATATATATATATATATATATATATATATATATATAATGACAGCTGACTAATTTCAGGCAGTTCCAAATGATCTTCATAGGAATTCATTGATAAAACACAGTTCAAATGCGATCTATAGTAACGAAAGTGTTTTTTTACAAACACTTTAGTTACAAATTAGAAACTTAGGGGATATATATCTATTTCGCTTTACAAACCCTTAAAACATCAACTGTTTGTAGGTTATTGAGTCACATAGCTTTTTGCTATAGTGTTCAGATTTAAATCTGTATTGCCACAGATAAATTTTCATGTGCAACGCCAGCAGTAATACTGATGTAATGACTGGATTAATTCCATCATTGTTGTCTGTAGAGCTGCATGAAATTTTTGTTGTTTTTAACTATTATTCAAGACTTTGGAGTAAAAATTGAATATATTTTTCACTGGCCTTGATAACAAAATTACCGAGGGCCGATATTTGTAAAATCTGAGACTTTTATGCATCATCGAGATTGTTCTAGCACAAGCAATCGGATAAAACCACCATTGTTCTCTGTGTAACGCCAGAAACAATTAAAAATCAGGTGGCGTTTGTAAGTTTTACTTTTCAGAGACTTTGTTTCTCATTTCCTTAACCAGTGCTGTGAAGTACTTCTATGGTTAGAAATTAAAGACACAAAATTCAGAAAAGGGGTCTCCTTTCATTACTTTCTTCATCAAGCTGTACGACATTATGTACATACAAATATTATATTTAAGTATTTATTCCGTGAAGACATATGAACAATGTATTAGCAATATAATGTTATTAAGAGAATATAGTAACAAATTATGCTGTAGATCGCCAAGGTAGATGATCTATGTCAAGTGATCGGAGGCCTACTCGCGTTAGACGGGAATGGTGTGACGAACTAGCTAACATCGAAGTCTCACCTCATGGTCAGCACCTTACGTGGACTACCCCATTGACGTATCAAGGTATCATAGATACTTTGAAGACTGTACAACACAGGGGACATTATTACAGAAATATATTAGTTAATGTAGATACAAGCGAAAGTAAGACCACTGCCGCATGGACCATTCCGTGGCGTGCGATTAATTGGTGCGCGTTGGTTATCCTTGACCTTGACGAGGATCGATGATTTGCTTGACATCCGTTGACTTAACTGCCGGATGATTTGGCTAGGACTCAATGGAATTTCACTGGCCCTACAATGCTGTGTAAACAAGATGAGATTGTCTTTATGCAGATTAAAAGTCATGTAAAATTAACATGTAAGCAAAAGATTGTCATATGAATGGAGTAAGATAGTTCAACTGTTTTCGTTACAATAATTAAAAGTAATAGAAGAGTTAGGTAAAAAGCTATGATATCAGAAACAATTACGAATAAAATTGTGACGGTTTGTGAAATAATTAAGCAGAAAGTAATATTTTTAGGTACAAAATAAAACATTAATATCAATAATAGTAAAAATTTCAGCCCATGGTAAAAATCAAGATAAGACGTAGTTTTTTGTATATACAATCCTGACTTGATTGCGCTAATGACAAGAGCTTATGGTGATTTAAGTAGTTGGATACAAAGGAAATCTAGGCATGTTTAGACAAACTATCTAAAAGAACTCATAATCAGCCTGTGAGTCAATGGAATGACTAAAGTGAATTAAGTATTCAATAATGGAATTCCTAACTACTTTCCTCTTACCATTATAGAACCAAACAAGGATATATACTTGCGTCCGAGTTGAAAAAAAGAGCTAACTACGACCTGCGCACTTTGATCTACAAGTGCAAGTAAACTGTTAGGTGCACAGAGAGGCGACCAGACGAGGAATATTGCCTTCTCGAATATAGAAAAATATTTCTACAAGTGAAGATTAGTTGTAGCTTTGCTGCGTAGAACATTTCTTTTATAATCCACTATTAAATTAGTAATATCTGAAAGCACACATTTGTTTACTATTATTATTCACGCTTCTTAATAAAGTATTATAACCTTTCTATTATATCATCGTATTTATTACATTTTCATATGTCCTCAAGTAATTAATGCTTGAAACTTCATATGTATTTACATGGTCATACAGCTTGATAAAACAATTATAAAAGAAAGATTCTTCCTCTAAGCTTCTTGGTTTTATTACTTAAGTGATAATTACACGTCTACTGAAGAAATTGCATCCCTAAAATTATGTAACAGCAGAAGCTTAAATTGCTTATTCCACGAGGAAGCTTAGGTTTGAGGAAAAATTGAAATAAGACAAAATAAAATCACGAGTTTTGTTATTAATTTAGCTACTAGTTCAGATGCATTTGAAAATATTGAAATTTTGGTGCGTAAAACCTCATACAATAATGCAAATGTTTTGAAAGTAAATGTAAAACTGAAGAATATAATTGTAAAAATTTCATTGCCTATTTAAAATGCCTGCTAATAGTATAGTTTCGAAAAAATAAAACGATTTTAACATGGTAAACGTATTTATCTAATTTAAAATTGTTCCCATCATAATAGACATGAGGTTATCAAAATTTTGTCTGTTAATTCCTTATTATGTCTGATTCCGTTTTTAAAGTGTCTTATTTTCTAACAATTATGATACTTATCAGAAGGGGTTTTGTGGAGATTGTAGTGATTTCAATGATTAAGATCACGAGTCAGTTGAAGCTAGACCAGCATGGAAAACCTGGAAGCACTGGACGTCCATTTTGTCCTATTGTGGGACTCCTCAGCAGTGCGCATCCACGACCTCGCCCCCTGCGCGATTCGAACCCAGGACCTACTGGCTTCGCGAGCGAGCACTTAACCACTAGACCACTGAGCCGGCATTCAACGGTGTTCATGTCTAACTTCAACTAATCCACAAAATTGAACGACACATTCATCATTGCCTTCAGTGAGTTACTATCTCATAACAGACCTGGTTGAACTCCACTGGTCACTACTTCTCACTAGAACTCCAGGATATACCTCTTGAAGCCAGTCACTAGTGAGCATGTGTTGATTATTATCAGAAGCGGTTTTGTGGAGATTGTAGTAATTTCAATGATTAAGATCATGAGTCAATGGAGTTCAACCAGGTCTGTTGTGGGATAGTAACTCAGTGAAGGCAATGATGAATGTGTCGCTCAATTTCGTGGATTGGTTGAAGTTAGACATTAACACCGTTGGATGCCGGCTCAGTGGTCTAGTGGTTAAGTGCTTGCGCGCGAAGCCAGTAGGTCCTGGGTTCGAATCGCGCAGGGGGCGAGGTCGTGGATGCGCACGGCTGAGGAGTCCCATAATAGGACGGAACGGCCGTCCAGTGCTTCCAGGTTTCCCATGGTGGTCTAGCTTCAGCTGACTCATGATCTTAATCATTGAAATTATGATAATCATAATCTGCAATTTTAGGTTCTGTTGAATAAATAAAAATAACACAAAACTACTCTTTCTACAAATCAATTATCGTGATTATTTTTAAGGCAGTAGGAGAAATAAACACTTATATGTGTTTTAAATTCAAGACTTGATATTTCAGTGAATATAATATCTAAAAGTTAAGGTGTAGTCGTAAACCAGACTATTATATTTTGAATAGTTGAGATCATAAGTCTATTGAATCTAGACCACCATGGAAAATTTGAAAGCACTGGACGGACATTTTGTTCTATTGTGGAACTCCTCAGTAGTGCACATCCATGACCCCGCTTCGCAAGATTCTAACCCTAAGACTGATATTTCAACTACTGCGTTGTGATAATTAACTAACTTTCGTAACAAGAACTTATCGTATTCCACTCTTTATTGTCTAGTCACGCAAATCCGAATAAATCAAATGCATTGTATTACCTGATACGGATCCAAATCCATAAGTGTAATGAAGAAACGAAATTAAAGTATTTTGGTTGAAGTGGAAAATTAAACATAAGGAGAGTAATTCTGAAGAAAGATATTACAAAAAAGCAAAAATGTTTAATGATGGAAAGATATTAAGTGGGAGAAAGTAAATAAATGACTAAGTCACTATCAAAAGTCCTAGCTCATGGCATTTATGTTTATCCAATGCAAATCATGAAGAAGTCAAACAGCGATTTTAACATTCCTAGGAGATTTAGGAAGACAAGTGGTGACTTTATAGGCAGGAACAACCCTTATTTTGTCAGCTCTATGTTTTCTACCACGGACATTATTACAAAGTCGGCTGTCTAGTTGTCAGCTGTGTAAGACGCAGGTAGAAGTATCTCAATCAGAGAGGGTTTATACCCACGTAGATAAATTTGATTTTTTATCCATAACCTAAATTAATCTGTAAGATGCATACCCAAAATATTATCATGACTAGTCATTTAGCGGTTCTAGTCTACACAGTATTAAGCCACAATTTTATGGCAGTCTAACTAATAATTCAATATTATTTATAGTTAGATTTTTTAAACAGCTCACCTAGTATTCGCTTTATCAACTAAAAGCTGAGTATGTTTTCATTGCTTTTGTGTTAATGACCAAAATGGTCAAAATGTTATGAAAAGAGTAAAATTCACTTGATGTTGTTTTACTATTATTTGGGACTGAAATTGATCAGTCTCTTGTAGGTATATATTCATCCTGTGCGGGTTGTCTCGATATTGCCTGAAGTTATAAGCTTTATAAGCAAAGATGGATAGTGGCTAGTAGTAGAATCCAGGATGCAAGATTTATCCTATTTGACTATAGGTTATATCGAGGTAAACCACACAGAATGAACATATGCCAATAAGCAATTGATTAGTTGCAATCCTTAACAACAATAGGAAGATACAAGTAAAACAATAAGTTAATTTATTCTTTCATCTTTGCTAAATAATCTGAAATTTTAATGAAATAGTTACTCTGATCTCAGTAAATCGAAACTAACTGTAATCATTTCACTCTCTATTTCTAAAGGATATTCATTCTGGTCAAAATATGACTCAATTGTATTCAATAGAAGTTATCGATTAAAAGATTCATTTATTAATTTTAGAAATCAAATCTATTCAGACTCATGTATGGAGGACAATTTGAAAAAATGGAAATGTTGTGAACAGCCTAATCATCCAAGTTGTTCTATATTACCATCGAGAACAAAAGCTATTGAAACTATGCTAAGAGATCCACAAACTGATATTAGTTTAGTATTTGCTTATCTATGGTGCACAAAAGTGAGTTTTATTTTTATCTTTCTTCTTTCTTAGACTTTAATTAACTAAATTCTTGAATTAACTACAGATAAAGTTTTTATAAGCCAGAAAATATTGTTCGCTATCTGTATAATCATTTGCCCTAAAATGCCCTGGTAAGGTCGAGAACGGGGATAGTCAGCTCTCTCTCTCTAAATGCTCCTACATGTCCACGTGCATACAACCACTGCCACACAAGTCCTACTCACTGCCTTCTCACGACATTAATGTTGTTTATGAAATTGAGAGGAAGAAAAGCGAATGTCTGGTGAATTAACCGGGTTGGTGGACCCTGAGAATCCACCTAGAGGAGTTGGTAAACCCTGATTCCAGATCAATTGTTCACATGGGCTCCAGGATCCTGATGGAACAAATGGCGTATGAACTTATTATTGGTCACCAGCTATCATGGGATCTCATCTCCTTATGTTGCTCCACTACCTTACGGATTAGACCTTTAGGTCGAAGACTCCGGGCGTGGCCCCCTAAGATACCCATCTGTTTCAGTCTGAGTACCCGTAGAGTGTTCGATCCGTCACACAGATCGAATGGTTTGTGTGTCGCATATCTGTTCGGTACCTCCTAGTGCCAATGTTTATGTGTTTAAATAAATAAATATAATCATTTGGTATTTGGAAGTCAAACCTAGTTTATTACTTAAATACGACCTATTATCTATGATTTTATGAAATTAGAAATAAATAAAACAAAATAAACAAAATATCCTAACAAATTTACTGAAAACTCACTTATCAAGGTCTTTTTACAATCTCATATAGTTAGTTGACAACGCTGATGAAACGATGAACTCAGCCTGTATCGTTTGCATGATACTTCGACGGCTGTTGTTAATATTTCCAAGTGTACTCACGTGAGTGTCCTTTTTAGCTTCATCTTTTGGTCCTCTTCGACGTGTTGGTATTTGAGGATCCTGTAATGTGAATCCATTATCATTAAGTGTACTTTTTTTCTTACCCTTTACCCAGCTATTCTCTATCCCAATGGGCAGTTAATTGGGAGTCCGTATCTTACACTTGTAAGTAGAACATGCTGACGAAGACACTTGTGGAGAAAATACAGTTGTAGTAGCGTAGTACACTTCTCGATATACTCAGCATATATTCAGCATACAGTTTAAAAGTTGTAATTTAGTTAAACATAAATAAGCACGTATTAAAACAGTTTTCGGTAAAAAGGGAAAAAAACTGATCTTGATGAGACAAACTAAAAGAGAAGAATTTGGAAAATATGTATCAATAAAACAATAATGAAGTCAATAATAGGAATTAACTATTTTACTTAAGAAATAATTGAATATAAGGCACGTAATAAAGGGCACTACAGACTGTTTGATTATTTCATACCACAAAAAAGGAAGATAATAAGAAATCGTATTATGTCATTTTGATATGGATGTCCTATTTTGTATTTTGGTAACAAAACAGCAGATCAGGTAGAGAAATAGCTTGACTTTGACTTGATGAAAGTCATTTGTAGATCAGAGAATTCATCCAAAGACAATAATCAACTAATTTTGGATAATCTTCATCTAAAATAATGCTTCGGGTTCGAGTCCAAGAGAGAACACCCACTCTGAGATGCAGGTACATCCAGCTGATGAGTTTCAAGTAGGACGAAACGTGCGTCCTGGGTTTCACTAATAGCCACTATCCGTATTTGCTTAAAAAGCTTGTGACTTAAGGCTATATCGAGGCAATCTGTACAGGATGCATATATGCCAACATGAGACTGGTCAATTGCAGTCCTAAATAACAATGGGAAGATACAAGTAAAACAACAAGTGAATTTAGAACGATTTCTTCATAATCTAGCGACAACCAAATGTTATAGATGAGTGCACATATTGATTATATGTATGTCCATTCTTTATGTTATTATCGGTGCAACATAAAACTACACATTGTTGCCTTGATATTTTAGTTTCAGAGCTGAGCTGGATAAATACTACTATTGTGAGTAAATTCAGTGTGATACGGTTTGTTTTGCAGATAAACTATCATGTCTCATGAACTACTGATGAACAGTTTAAACTAACCAATCGATATTTTTGAACAAACTCTTCTACTTCCTAAAGTTCTAGCTATCCACAAAAATAAAAACAATAAAATATACATAAATTATGAGAATGATTACAAGGTGGATGAGATATCCATTAACCATTATTTGTGAGTGTTATATCTAGAGCTTAGGTTCTTAATATACCGCGTATAAATTGAGCACTGGAACGCTAGAACCCTCCCAAGTCGCAAATGAGAAGACAAGACAAATGAAAGGAATATTATTTCAAATAGTGTCATTTACGGTATAAAACTGTCAGGTATTTATAGTATTTAGTAAAGACAAAATTATCATTATAGTTATCCAATCCGCACACAGGAGATTATTAGTATCTGTCCAATAGGGAAGCTACACGTGGTGATTCTGGAATTTTCTTTCAAATGCTGATTGGATGAAATATCTTCGGCTTTTTCTGATCTTCTTAGAGCTTCCTCAAGTTCATCCGTAGACCGTCCTCACAGTTAACAATTATAGTTTAAATAAATATATTTGCAGTTTCTGTTAACTAACGAGCTAATATATCACTCAATAGAGGGATAAAGGTGTTGAAATCAGCAAAATGTAAAACAATACATGAAAATAATTGACAGGATGAAATAATTAAGTATATAAAATACATCAACCATTTCTATTCCACAGTTCTAAGCTTATTTTATTGATCACTGATGAATATTGTAGCGAAATAGTTCGTGGTCTAAATGCGGTTCACCAACTTTGTAGAGGCTAATTTCCTGTATATCTGACTCCAATAAATAATAATATCCCGTTAACTAAGTACTTAATGCAGGCTAAATCTTCTAGTAGAATTATGGATAAATATATCACTAATTATGGATTCACTCGAGATTTATTCAGAAGCCTGAACATCAGTTATAGAGATAGTTCATTGTCAAAGATTCGTAAAACCCGCAAGCGTACACGAAGCAAGTACACAGAGAAACCAAGAGTATCTGTGTGTGTGTGTTAGAAATCCATATATATTTATGAATGTTAATCAAGTATGGATAAATTATTGATTATCTGTGTCTTACAACCAGTGGGATAATAGATTGGGAATTGGCATGTGCTCAATCAGACTCATACAGAAAATTACATGGTGGATCAAGTGTCTAAATTACAGTGAGCAGATAAATGATACAGTAGTTGAATGAGCTTACTACAATATTAGATCACCTGGGAAGAAGAATTTTGTAAACTTATGTTCAAATAGCTAGAAATGTAAATAGTTTCAAATAATCATATGAATTAGATGGTAAAAATATGATCTGCATAACTTGTCAGTTTAGGGGTTGTGGAGATTGTTAAGATTTTGATTGAGATCATGAATCGATTGATGTTAGACTACCGTTGAAAACCTGGAAGCACTGGACAGCCTTTTCATCCTATTGTGGGACTCCTCAGCAGTGCGCATCCACCATCCCACCTCCCGCGAAATTCGAACCGAGGACATATCAGTCTTGTGCGCGAGCGCTTAACCATTAGACCAGTGAGCCGGCATCCAATGGTGTTAATGTCTAACCTTAACCAATTCACATAATTTGTATTTGTAACATGATTATTACTATGATTCTCTTTGTAGGTATGGGCAAATTTTCATAAATTTAATACTACACAACAAAGAGATTTTCTCGAGGATATAGAAACAGGTTGTCCAAATCCATGTTTTGGAAATCCATGTAAAAATACTCAAGGTGTGAAGAATCATATTTGTCATGTTACAGGAACTTTTGAGGTATTCATGAGTTATTTTTGTTTACTGTTGAAAAACGCGATAAAAGAAACAATTTTGCCTAGAATATATTAAATTTTCAGCAAATATAGAAGTGATTATAAACATTCTAGTGAAAGAATTGGTAATCATGATAATTATTGATATGTTGCTAGGAGAAAAACTAAGTTCTGTTAACTGAGTAAAAATTTTCACATTCTCTTTTACAAGGTAATTAGGGAACTCTTCAATGATTTAAATCTCCATCATCTTGTGCTGCAAATGAACTCCTAAAGAACTGAGTTGTCCATCTTAACTAATTAACGGACAATGGTAGCCAGTTTCAGTTTATTCAATCTTGATAGTAACTCAGATGAGAAACGTGTCCTAAAAATCGACAAATAAATTGTGAATGCGCACTGCTGAAGAGTCCCTTACTTGGACGAAACGGCCGTCCAGTGCTTTCAGGTTTCCAATGGTGGTCTAGCTTAAATCGACTCATGAATTCAACTACTAAAATCATAAAAGGCTAAGAATTTTTCTCAGTAAAAATAAATCATTATTTATAAGCAAATATATAAATGAAGCTGGTAAGAATGGTTTATAGGACAAGATTAAAGTCATAAACCGTTTATCAGTCGATAAAAGCTTACCTATAAATGCAAATATGAGCAGTGATGTGATGTACTTTAATCTGATAATCAGGATTTTATATTACTCAGTCTATTTTATAAAGTAGAAGTACATTTAAATAGTCAGCTATATAGTGCTATGTTGAGATGAAGGTCTCATATGAAACTGGAGGTTCGCCATTGGTATTGTGGATGGTTCGGAACTACTTTGGCAAGTTTTGCTGACTGTTCATATGAAAATTGATTTGCTGGTTAACCGATTTCATTCATACTGGTGGTTGCTTTCCAGTATTCTCAAAGGCCATTTTCATTGAGACATTTTAAGGCATGTTGCCATTACTAACATTATTGAGTTTGACTGTTATGTAAGCGGAATAGGTCAACTTTGGCCTGTTCGTGCTGTGCGAAATTAATTCACGCGATCAGTGATCAGAATAATTGTATATATGATCTATATGTGTATATGAATGGTGCGAATGGTTCACTAGGGTGCTTGGTATCTACTTGGTTGCGCCACAGGATTGAGCTGTACTATTCAGATTGTAGCGTTAAAGCTCATATGATGTCTAGTTTTACTGTGAAACAGGATTGAGCCGTACTATTCGGGTTATGAATTTTAAGTATGGGTGATATCTGGCTCTCCTGCCGTACTACTCGGGTTAAGCCTGGACGGTGTCTGGCTCTCCTGTTGAAAGGGATTGACCTGTACTGTTAGGGTTGTCACTTGAATGTCTAGATGGTGTCCAGTTCTCTTGAAAATCAATGTAAAATTACCCTAACCCACAAGAGTATATTATATAACTATGAATAAACTCGTTGATCCTGTCAGTAGTCATATACTTTCTTGTCTCAGACATCTATATAGTAATCTGAAATATTCTCCATAAGTCAATTAGAATTATTGAATGATATTTATCAGTATTGGGGTTGTGGAGATTATTAAGCTTTTGATTGAGATCATGAATCGACTGATGTTAGACCACCGTTGGAAACCTGGAAGCACTGGACGGCCGTTTCGTCCTAGTATGGGACTCCTCAGCAGTGTGCATCCACGATCCCACTCGCGGGATTCGAACGCAAGGCCTTTAGTCTCGCGCGCGAACGCTTAACCTACTCGACCACTGAACCGGCATCCAATGGTGTTAGTGTCTAACATCAACCAATCCACAAAATTGCGCGACCATCTTCCATTTTACTGAGGTAGATACCTGTCTCTACCCGACACGGATTAGCTCCACTGGTCACGGCTTCTCACTAGAACTCCGAGAATTCCCTCACGAAGCTAGTCACTAGTGAGCACATGTTAATTATCAGTATTGAGGTTGTGGAGATTATGATATTTAATCAAATATCAATCTCTTTTAAGTTCTTTTAAAATGATTATGATGTCATAGAAACCGGTAGTAAAGATCGATAGATAGATAGATACCAACTAGTAATATTTTCTTATGTTATTATTTAATTTGTATTACATTAAAATATGTGTAAATTTATTAAAGAATGAATATAAATGTCATTGTAAAGAAGAAATGATTTGGGATAAAAATTTAAAAATATGTCTTCCAATAAATCCATGTGATAGAAAAAGATTTCAAATGTGTATACCTGAAAATACACTTCAATGTATTGCTTATAATAGTTCTAAATATGAATGTATTTGTAAATCAAACTATATGGGAATTGATTGTTCACTATTACGTGATGCATGTTATGAACGAGTGAATAAAGTATGTTTAATAGTGTAGTTGTTTTGTTTTAACTATTATTTTATCTAAACAGTAATTTATTAATATTCTATATTAATGAAAAGTGCCTTCATTGTATTTCTTTTACAATTATTAGCTTAACTCAACAATGTTGTTTTATTAATTGGTCTGCTACGTAAACTGTCTGTTGAATGAAACTGATCAGATATTAAAAAGGGATTGATTTGATATCTGATAGATGATTTCATACTTCGATAAATTTCAATTATTAAAACAATTAAGGAAACTTGAAATATAAGATTGTGCAACAATTTGAAAGACTCTCCTGGTTTCCCATATTGTATGAGCATATCATGTACTTAAATTAATGGTTGCTCTATTTGTCAGAAGGAGGAATTCGCCTCGTGATTTTCGAAGGAACTCGACTATTACCATGAGGTGTTATAACTCTTCTAAATGAAGACCTTCTAACTCTCAGAGTAGAGTTTAAATAGTTTGAATTATTTTTTTCTGGTTAGCACTTCTTTAACGAGTTAATTGTCTAAAGGATAGGGTTGCTAATCTCACACCCAACCCTCATTCTTTATCCGGACTTGTGACCGGCAGCAGCTCCTAGGGACTTCAGGAGAAGTTGAAATATAAGAATACCTGTGTCCATATTCATTTATCACTTATTCACTATAAACGAATTAGGAAAACCTACTATTTCATAGAGTAAAAGACATGTTTAATCTGATATTATGTACATAACTTGATAATTGTTCCTTCTTTCTTTTATAAACTATTAGTGTATGAAAAATAAATAGATGAAATGAAACTAATGTATATTACCATAAGTAAATGGATCAATATTTCAATGATTGCGTTTTTTTAATTTCTTTTTTACTGAGTATCCTTAACTCTAGTAGACAACAAATAATGATCATTTAATGGATCCAATTTTTAATCTATGGAATATCAATTTTAACAGTTAAGATCATGAGTCATTTGAATCTAGACAACCGTCAAAAACATGGAAGCACTGGATGGCCTTTTCGTTCTACTGTGGGACTCCTCAGCAATATGCACCCACGATTCCGCCTCGTGAGATTTGAACCCAAGGGTCTAGCTTTGATTGACTCATGATCTTAACTATTAAAATTACTGTAATATTCACAAAACCTCTTCTGATATGGAATATCAGAATGACATTTAATTGAAAAATTAAGATCTTTACGGTAAATCTTGTTCTTAATATTCAAAGGTAGACTTTTTTTAAAAAAAGAGGCTTCCCTTTAAATTTTTATCAGTACCTGTATCTGTGTGAATTTACAGATTAAAACATTTGATAAAACATTCTGAATAATACCTATAGTAGCATTTACTACCTTTCTATCTGAGAAATGTATCAGTAGGGTCTTAACTAGTGATCCTTAAAAGAGGATTACGTTAGGCGTTGAAACTTACAAAGATCTTTTTAAAATTCATGAATCTATGGATCTTTTTTTCATATGAAGGAGAAATATAATACAAAGATTTGTGAATAACGATAACAGAGACAATTACAATTGACTATGAAAGGTCGTAGTCAATCAGAATACATTTTGATCTTTCTGTACTTGATTTGTTTATGAATCGAATGCCCTGATAAAGCTGAGAGTGGGGAGAGTCAGCTCTCTTTCTCTCTTGAATTGCTTGTATACACACACTGTCAGGAAAGTCCTACTCAATACCTTCTCGGGGGTGTTGCTTACGAAAATGAGAGGATGAAAATTCATTGTACGGTGCTTTAACCGAGTTGGTGAATATGGAGGATCTACCTAGGGGAGTTGGAAACCCTAATTCCAAACCAATGGTGCACATGGACTCCAGGATCCTGAAGGAAAATGTGGAATATGAACCAATTTTTGGTGACCGGTTACCATGAGACTGTATCTCCTGACGTTGCCCCACTACATTGTGGATTGGACCTTTAAGTCAAATGCAGAGGGTGTGGTCCTCCAATAAAACCACCTGTTTCTATTCGAGCAACCGGGCAGTATTTCAGTCCTTATGAAAATTTAATAATTTATGTGGTGCATGTCTACTTGATGCCCCCTTGTACCAATGTTTATGTGTTTGATTTTTAATATTATTTTAGTCACAGCCCAACGGAAATTTTAACTGTCAAATTCATCTAGGAAATATATGTCAACCTATTTTAGGAACAGATTATTATCAATGTATATGTTTAGAAAGCTATCAACCTTTATTGTATACCTCTGAACCCAATTGTTTTGGAAGAATCAATCCTTGCCACACAATACATGTAACTGATTTATTGATAAATTCAAGTTTAAGTGATAAAAATAAAAATTTCCAAATGATTTCAAATGTAAATCAAAATATTCATCCTGGTACTGTTATACATTGGGGTTTAACTTGTCTTAATGGTGGTCAATGTGTTGCTTCAGAAGATTTCACACATGCTATTTGTGTTTGTCCTACTGCTTCAGACGGTTCATTATTATATACTGGTTAGTTAGTTCAAATGTGAATTGTGTATATTTAATGTTCGTAGTTTTAGAAGTTGTAATGTTAAAAATATTTAACAGTGGATAATCCTAGATTAAGAGTGAAATTAGTCATTAAAGTACTTTTCTCTCGGTTTCTTTATGACACTCTGTTATAGTTCTCTCTTATTACAATCCAGCTATTCATATTGCTTAGTATTCTCGGACACCAATTCACTCGACAAATCCTCAAACCAGAACACGGTTGAACAGGAAAGGGACTATATTCCAAGTGACAAGGTTAGATGGAAGTAAGAAGAAGCACAATAGGAAAATGTTAGTATATTTATAGTTTTTACATGAGAAGATTTTTAGAGTGTTCTTCAAGTATCGACTAGAGCTGATTGGATAAGAATTAGCCAATGAGCGTGCACCAAAGCAATCGTGCATAGAGCATGCTTTAATTCAATCCATGTCCCGCTAACACATCCCTAATCATATCTGTCATTATTCATATTGTTGATAAATAATTTAAATAACGTTGTGAGCTAAAACAAACGGAAATTGTTACTAATGTTTTGTATCAAAAAAGTGTGTGATCCTAAAGTGAGTAACTGATCAATGTGAGTTGAGATGTTTGAATCTATGTTGCAACAGTGGAATCAGAAAATCCTTCATCCTCGTTCTAAAAAACTTGGACTGATAGTCTTTATCCCTGCTTCGTCTAATTCTTAAGTAATATTTTCGTTGGATAAGTCGAAAGCAATACTACTATTAAACAAGACAATGGGCAGGAGGAATGTAGATTTATTGAGAGAAGTTAAAAAGTATTCACATAATGCATATACATAGCTGTCAATCCTCCATTTTTCATCTTTTGATGTTTTCTACCATCTGAACTGTCTTCTTGTCTGGTCTCCAAGTGTTCTGAAAACATAGTGCTTTTGTTGCTCTAAAACTCTTAACTTGTTTAGTTACCACTCAAGCATATGATGGCTGAGTTTAGGGAAATGTCAAATACCACAGAGATCTGAACACCTTTTTCACCCTAGTTTGAAAATTTTCACAAAGATTAGCGAAACAGTGAACCGATTACTGGATTGATCCGGAATTATTGTTGTCAAGCTTCTTATCAGTTTGTGAATTTTCTGAGATAAAAAGATTTATTTCATCACATTATGTAGATCTTCTTTGAGTAACAACCATTATCTGAGATATTACCATGTTCACGTTAAACGAATCTAACCGATCAAAACAAATGATATTGTAAAGCAAACCATTACGAATCACATTTCCACATCTATTTCTTTTTAAGTCTTTTGTCTCCCAAGAAATGTTTTTACACATAATGTTTCTTCATAATTTGAAGAATTCCCATATTTTTCGTTTACATAGGTTGTTCATAATTTATTGATCTAACTGAACAGTCTAACCAAAACTAGTTATTCTGATTAGTTCTATGTTTTAACTGAATCTGTCAAGAAATATTTCTGACGAATTAGACTTCATACTTTTATTTTAATAAACAGTAGACTAAATGATGAAACGTATTTCTATTTGAATAACTTTTTGCTTGATCATTGGTGAAAATGCGTAATATAGTGAATTTTGTTTTAATATGATTCAGCATGATATTTGATTATAAGTCCATCTAACATATTACAATTTGAAGGATTGAACTGTGAGTATTCCGTTGGAGTTTGGTCATCTTGGACACTGCCTTCACCGTGTTTTCCAGAAGAATGCGGTTTGTCACGTTATCGTTGGAGAAGGAGACAATGTTTGAACAATACTGTCCATGATAATATGATTTTCCATTCTTCCGATTCGTTAGCTAAATTAAATGGAATTGATACCTTAAAGAGAAGAATGCCACTTCCTTGTCCAGGAATTTCAGAAGAAGTAAGTTGTACACTAGTTTGACAAAAAGCATCAACATATGCATATTACTTACTTACTCACACCTGTCACTCCTCGTGGAGGAGTATGGGTCGCTCACCAGATTTCTCAACTCAACTCTGTCCGGGTCATTTCTTTCCAGTCTTTTTCGGTTGTTATTCATCCTTTTTATGTCTGCTTTCAGTTCCCGACGTAGTCTTTTCATCGGCCCTCCTCTTTTCTGTTTAACTTCAAGATCCCAAATTAGCGCTTGCCTTGTGATGCAGTTTGATGATATATATTCAATAGTAAATATAACAAACCCTCTAGAATCTGTTTTATATTATTTTATAAGGACAAACAGGAAAAATGAACCTAACAAGAATTATTGAACGAAACTTAACGTATTTATTGTAGAACGTTCACGTTACTTTTTTTTGAAATTTTTCGTATTTGCTAGTAATTAAAAGTTTGATAATTCATCAAGTTGTTATTGTATTCATGAATTCTAGCAAAAAGCTATGACCAGTGGGTTTCAACTATGTTGAATATGAGTCAATCAGCCACCAGTGGTATTGGAAGATAGTGTTGTACTAACGGGTATTCATTAAGGTTAACAGCCTAAGTCATTGAATAGCGTCTCATTGGTGTAAAGGTTAAGCGCTCTTCACGAAATGAAAAGAATCTGGATTTATTTCCTGGTGGAATCGAGGATGCGAATTTCTAGAAATTCTCATAATCGGTCTAAAAAGATGTTGAAAACTTTGTTTTTTTTTTCAATGATTTTCCAACAAATTAATTTTTTGAGCTAAACCTTAAAATTTCTATCTCACTGGTAACCTGGATTGAGATGAATTCCTCTAAGCTCGTGAAAGTAAACTGTGACCTATGGAGTATAACAAGTTTGAAATTTAAACTCTTATTCATTATTGAAGATCTGGAGCTCCAAAAATCAGCCACTGTATTTTTACTTAATTCCTGGATAACAATATACCACTCAAATGAACTGAAAGTTCTTGGTTCTATCTCTCATGAGATCTTAGTTATATGTTCAGCGAAAATTTTGAACTAGTGAGAAAAATATATCCATTTGTGTTGCACTTTCCAAAAATTCATTGACATCTATATAATAGTGTTATAACACAGTTATATAATATACCCTTGTGGGCCAGAATAATTTTACATTGGTTTTCAGGAGAACCAGACACCGTTCAAACTTTCACGTGACAACCCAAACAGTATATCTGAAGCCCGTTTAACAAGAGAGCCAGACACTGTATAGGCTTTAAAGCTACAATCTGAATAGTACAGCTAAATCCTGTGGCGCAACCACACAGGTAGCAAGCACCCTGGTGGACCAAAATAATAATGAATAATACATAAATGATAAGTTTCAGAAATGTTTCTAGAACTGTATATACTTATTTACATATCGAGAATAAAACCTTGAGATATAAACAAAGATGAATAGACGCTAGCAGTGAAATCCAGGACCCGCGTTTCGTCCAATTTTGGACTCGTCAGCTGGATGTACCTGCATATGAGAGTTGATGTTCATTCTGGGACTCGAACCCAGTACAGTTTGCTTCAGACGCTATCGCATTATCCACTTAGCTACTGAGTCCTGATAGCCATCTGCTTGTGCGATAGGATGAACTTTAAATTCAGTTGGTGTTGTTTGCTTGTATCTTCTTATTGTTATTTAGGACTGCAATTGATCAGTTTCTTATTGACATATGTGCACCATTTGCGTATATCGCATCACGTCACAAGCTTTTTAAACAAAAATGGATGGTGGCTAGCAGTAATATCCAGCATCCGCGATGGCTTTTGAAGTGAACTGTACTGGGTTCGAGTTCCGGAGTGTACATCAACTTTGAGATGCAAGTATATACAGCTGGCGCGTTCTAGATTCTACTGATAGCCACTATCCATCTTTGTTTAGAATGCTTGTGAATTAAAGCAATATCAAGTCAATGCGCACAGTATGTACATATACCAATAAGAGACTGATCAATTGCAGTCCTATACAGCAATGGGAAGTTACAAGCGAACAACACCAAGTGAACTTGAGATATAAAGTATAGAACAAGATTATTGTCATTTTACATTTCAAATAAACAATGTGATTTTTTTAAAACTGGATATCTTTTTAAAATTGGGAGTGACATTTAGCAATACTTTCAATCTTCTTTGTATCTTTACTATCTTATTTGATTTCATCTTACTTCACAATAGATTTTACCGTGTCCCCCACTAGAACCATGTTTTCAATCACAATTCTCAAGTTATATGATGAAAGAATTTTTCAGTTATGAAACACTATATTACTTTACATATACTACAATTTTTATAGTAAGTTTGTTCACCCGAATATTTACGTAAATAAAGTCAACTGATCACTAATACACCATTTAGTTACAACTACTATCTCATTATTGTAACTAAAAACTTATATATTTTTTATGTAATCGTGAAAAAGTAGTGCTTTTTCTGCATAAATTAAGTATTAAATAAGTAGTATTGTATTGAACGAGAACATAAGTGGGGACAGTTGAATGTTTCAACAGTTGAGATCATGAGTCAATTGCAGCTAGAACACGATGGCAAACCTGAAAGCACCAGATGGCCGTTTCGTCCGGTGTATCCAAACTTACCATGATGTTCTAGCTTCAATTGACTTATGATCTCAATTATTGAAATTGCTACAATCTCCACAAAAACCCTTTCTAATATAGTTGGATGTGTTTGAACACAAATCTGAGACCGATACAGTAAATACTTGATTTAAAAGATGTTGACTGACTGTTTCAAACATTTTTAATAACTTAGAGAGATGGACCTGTTCATAATATATTATGGTTGTGTGACTAACATTCAGAAGAATAAACTCAATTAGTTTGAAATTTTAACGTCTGACCTTAGTAATGAATTTAATTAATGATTTCATGACAATGTTCAGAGTGAATGATTATGTCCAGTAAAATGCGGTTCCCATGTTTATGATTTATTTTATTTGCTTATTTATTTATTTATTTAAACACATAAGCATTGGTACAAAGAGGCACCGAACACATATGTACCACACAAGTCACTTAATATGTATGAAGACTGAAATACTGCCTGGATGCCCAGACTGAAGCAGGTGGTTTTCTTAAGGGACCACACTCAAAGCCTTCAACCTAAAAGTCTGATCCACAACGTAGTGGAGAAATGTCAGGAGATGCAGTCCCATAGTAGCCAGTGACTAACGATTGGTTCGGACGCCATTTTGTCCTTCAAGATCCTGGAGTCCATGTTCACCATTGGTTTGAAATGAAGGTTTTCCAAATCCTCTAGGTGATTCTTCCATATCCACCAACCCGATTAAAACACCGGACATTCACTTTTCGTCCTCTCACTTACGTAAGCAACACCCCTGTCACGAGAAGGTACTGAGTAGGACTTCCGTAGAAACGACTGCATACAAGTGGCCATATGAGAGTATTTCAAGACTGAGAGCCGATTCTCCTTACTCTCGGCCGTACTAAGGTCTACTATTAAAATAATAAGCATATTTTGTTTAGATCAAGAAAGTTTATTTAAGAAGAATATTATAAAAATGTGTTTATCATAGAAAAAAAACTGGAATTTAAATATTATTACCATACATTTTTTTACATTAACAGGTAATATTTAGTTGTTTAATATGGCATGTTTTCAGTCCACCACGTGTCAGGTAATAAAAATGAAAAATTTCCCTAATGGTCTGTACATTATTATCGATAAACATTCTGTGTTATGTTATTACATTGAGAAATACAGTACAAATATGTTTATCAACACATTTGTTGTCGTTTATTTCATCTCGGTTAAGGTTAACATCATAAATGTGAAAAGAAAAACTACTTGTTTCTTGTTCTACGGGATGGGGTTGCCACCCCCATGCTCAACCCTCCTACTTTACCCGGGCTTGAGGCCGGAAGTAACTATAGAAGGGCTGGTGACCACGATAAGTATCTGAAAAAAGATTCATTTTTAAGGTATATAGTAATCTTGTATTAAGACAATGAGCTGATGAAACTGTTATCTGCCTTTAAATAAACGGTGATTTATTTGACTAAAGAAGTGAAATTGAAGGAATAATGGCGAAGTGGCGTAGGTGAATGTATTATGATCTAAAAAATTAAGAGAATTAAAGTCAGAGAAAAGGACATTAAGGTATTAATCAAAACAAAGGGATTGATAAACAAGAGAATAAGTGATGCGACGCAAAAAGAGAGAACTAATTAATATACTTGGGACTGTTCACCACACAGTTATCAGTTATTTTAGTGGCTTCAGGACAGTGTGTATAAATGTAGTGAGTACATGTGTTCATCTTTTAATGGATTAGTTTCCTTTTAGTTACTACTAGTAGTTGAGGAAATCTGGTAGACATAATATGGGTAGTTAAAGGTTGACAATGTCAAGACATTACAACTCAAATATTTATTAACTTCCTTATTTTGATTAGGCATTATATTTCCCATTATCTTATATTAAATTTCTAAAGGTTAGTACTTTCAAAATTAGGACCTCGCGCTATAAGTGTTTTGTTATAAGATCTGAATGAGACCTACAACCAATAGTCTGGCTTTTTCCACATACAGAACAAAGCATGTCTACCAGCATTAAGGACCTGAATATGTATTTGGTCTCGGGAACATTTTCACCATTTCAAAACACACATAAGCAGAAAGCGTCAATCAATAACTAGATTCAGAAAAATCAGTAAATGTTCCTTGTTTTAGACGTGGTACAATTTGATATACGACAAAAAATCGTTGTTTCACAGAGGATTACCAACAAGAAATTTTCAACGTAATAGGAAAGAGGGTTGTTGGAAGCATTACAAAAGTTCACTTCAAGGCGACACGGTGAGGAATTTCTGGTATTCTAACTTTATAAATAGCAAAAGCAGTACATACTGAAATGGAGAATAGACGAGTACTGAACAATTTCAACAACGCAAGTTTAAAAAAGAGTAAAAGGTTTAAAGATAACACAAGTCTGACAACGTCTAAACCAGTAATACCTTTTATAATCAAAATGTGCCAACCCAGCAAAATCGAAAGTGATAAGCGAAGAGTTTCGAAGACATATTTGATAGGCTGTCGATATACCAAGAAATGGTCAATATAAGCTGGCTAGCGGTTGTAGGAGATGTGAAGCACGGAGTACTCACCCGTGACCTGGTGTGGATGCATGATCGGACGCGTTGAGCCAGATGAGTTCATTAAAACTAACGCAGCCATCATCAAATGTCAAAGACAAACAGAACTACTAATTTTGAGGATTTTTTTTACCTCAACAAGTTCATGACAATCACTATATTCTGATAGTTTTATTTTCAGTTCTTAGTGAGACTCTGGCTGTACATTTCTCGAGGTTTCACATGTATGTAAATTAGGAATGAGTTCTAAAGATGAACTTAAAACGAAACAACCTAAAGCCAGGACACAAACAACACAGATTATTCTGAAAAATAAATGACGCCAGGCCAGCCGAAAGGATATGACGTGGTGACATCATTTCATCATAAAGAATTTGGTCACCAAATGCCCGTACGTGATAATTTTACCAACTGATGATTGCTCTGTACTTGTCCGAGCATTTATTATGAATTCCATGCATCACACTTTCAGCTGAGCTCACCATATTTTGTCTTCCTCATATTGCGCTATTTCGGAAGTTCTTAGTTAGATCAATAATTAGAGCACTTTCTAACTATCATAGGATACCCGAAGCTTACTAAAGTATAAAGCGTTTCCAGATAAACCTATTTTACTTTCTAATGAAACTGTTAAAAAGCTACAACTAAATCTTGTTGTTGAACACACTTTGGATGTTGTGATAGAGCCACCAATTTTAATTTTGATGATAAATTTCAAGTCCATTTGCGTGATCGATTGATTGCTTGAATTACCATACGAATCTGAAAAAAGATCATACGCAAGTATTCAATAATATAAAACTTCATTTACTAATTATGATGTATTGCATGAAACTAATTTCCAAACAATCAAGGATTTTACTACATCACTTAGTTGTTCTTATCCGACTCATATTCGAGACCACACCGGTAGGCGTTCAATTAACAATAACTTAATTATCGTGAAAATGTGATAAACGGTTCATTTGAGAGTTTCAAGGCAGTAGACAAAGACAAACACAAGTTCGATAAATGTTTTCCAATACTTCACTCATGTAATTCATCTCTATTTTCTCAAGACATATGCTTCAAGTGCGGGACATATCGTGTCGGTTAGTAAAACTATTAATCTTCTCATTAATGCTTATTCTAAGCTCTGTATTTCTGATCTTATTATTTATGGTCATTCTAATAGTCACAAACTATGCTGATTTGCAACTTCCAGTAATTCATTTCATATTCAAGGACGACTATTTTTGTTCTGTGGTGTTTGTTGATCTGATACTATCGAATCTATCGTTTCAGTTGGAGTGTAGAATTCATTATTCCCAAAATCACAACTTGACCTATTTCGAGCGTTAATGATAATAAACTTCATAATTTGATGATTAGCAATGAAAAATCTACAGTTATAAATTGCTCATTACTCATCAGTGATTCTGTACTATCTAACCTGGGCATAGAAACTTTTTGAATGCTTCAAAAACAGAGTTCTGCATCAGCCAATGAAGATAGTTTTTATAAAATGTTTAAGAGATTGACAACTACGGAATCAAAGTACGAAGATTTTCGGGCAACACCAAGGCCAACTCAACCGGATGCTCAAGCAAAAAAAATGTGAAAACCTTGATAGCAGTTTCACCGCTGTTGCAAAGTTCAAAGACACGGAGAGGAGTTGAAGTGAATATTTCAGTGCCGAGTCGCTTTACCACACGCAAAAATAATAATGAAGTTTCTTGAACCAAAAATTGCTCATTTGAATATTGAAAGACGAAAGTCTGCTGATATCACATACAATCGATGAATGATTTCCAGCAAGGCGCAAATCGTTCGCTAAATAAGGTTGATGTTTGCAACAAATGTTTATTTTACAAGGACCCAGATAAGTCCATTTCAATTACCGTTCAAATAATAATGGGCAAATCCCAGATCATGCCCAATTCATAACGGCTGGACAAGTAGCAAACAAAGACTAGGTGATGATAATAAATTTATTATTCAACGCAAATTTAGAGTGCTTTCGTAAAACATGAAAACCATACATTAAATAGATTATTTGCACATTTTCTTTAGTTGTCAATCATATGCTTCATGATTTTGTAGATGCAAAGCCAAGTTTTAGCCAAGTTGCTATTCAGCTCTGAAATTCATATCATAAAACTTTTGCCTACTGAGGACATTCTACGTCCGTTGATCTGCATAACGTGCCAGCAGTCATTAAGGCTCTTTTTATAAAGATGTTAAAAACCGTACAGTTATATTCATGTGTGGAAAATTCAGTCAAAAATTCAAGCCGAAAAATTAATTGTTAGTGGCATTTCTAATCGTTTGCTTGGATTTTCTTAACAAAATACTACAAAATCAGTTATAATTGGTGACGTAAGTGCTGCGGACAACATTAAGTGAAGAAATTGTCATATTATTCCATCATCTGATCTATACATGTGTAACACAATTTTTTTTATTTTGTTAACTCTGTATGCGTATATACTCCAAATCGTCTTTAGTATTTTGGAGAATGTTTTGTAAAGACGCAGTCGTGAGTAGTTTTAAATGGAAACAAACAGTTTACGCTGGCGACTACAGGCTTACAAGAGTATTACAGTAGCAACTTTCAGCTTGCCGCATGGATTCTGACTTACTGTAAGCTCCTAGGTGGTCCGAAAACGAAATATTATTGCTCGTCAGCGCATTTATAGTTCACATTTATAGGCTCATACTGCCCGGAATTAAATCTTTATAAAGAAACACAGATCGACTTATTCAGTAGTTCATACCATAGCAAAGTGCCTTCAATAATATTGTTAATTCACCTCCACGAATTTGTCTCTTGGCTTTTTGATGATAACGTTAGTTGATTCAAATATACTTAGGTAGTCAGTCTTAAGTTATTTAACTTTAAAAACATGGCTACAATATTTTGAAGTGTACCCAATAATAATTATGTAGTACTAGTTCATGGAACTCAAAAGTGAGTGTCTCTGAAGAAATGTATAGGGCTTACTAATTTACTTTCGTTAGACTATACTGGCTGGAAAAATATCTCAGCATATCGTCAGGTGGTTCACTAGTGAAAACTACCAATCCAGTTAAGCAGATACAAAATTTCATAATTTAGTAAAACAAGATATGTTATACCTAAATAAGATGAAGTAGAGGGTAGCATCAAGCTCATTTACGGATGTTTTTAACTTAGTGTCGGGTTGTTGGTTGACACTTGGTCGTCTACCACTGTTTTCAATAGTTTCGTTCTCACAGTTGGATAGTTAGATTGTGGAGACTCTATTGTTCATCTGAACAACATCCTTAATACAAGATTGGGGTGGAAGTGGAGTTTTTAAAGTTGGCAATGTATGACTGACAGTTTGTCTTGTTGTCCTCAATACTGACTAGTTACCATTAATATTTGGCCTACCACCATATGTTTTTTATTTTAATTGTGTTTCTTATTGGTATGGTTGTTGGTCCTACACTTGTACATGAACGTTCTGATTGTTTGATAGACTGGATCGATTTCGATGCGTTTGTAAATTGTTGATTGTACTGAGTGCCGAGCTTTTGTTTTTAATATTCCCTCTACCCAGAATTTCAACATAAGAAAGTTGAGTTCACGAATCGGTTCAACCTCTACTTACATTGTGTCTGCCAATTTCATACCAAAATGTTTTCCTGTTTGCTCTCCTAAGTTTAAATTTTTTTCATAAACAAGATTTTTGAATATACTTACCATGAATAACGTGTTTATTAGCATTCTAAAGCAAGTGTTTTAACCAATCTATTGGACAATAAATAGGTGGCTTTCAAGTTTGTAATACGTTTTCGCGTTTATTACAACTCAGTTATTCCATCACATTTTCTCTAATTTACTGTGAATTATAGGTGCTTTCCCTATTTTTTTAACAATTTGTTTCAAGTAAGTTGGTGATATGCCTTTTCATGCTTTGAATTTTATGCATAGATGCATTTTTATTATGACGTATGTTAATCAATTTTGCATGTTGACGAGAACGACAATTAATTTGCCATTAATTATGTCTCGCAATAAGAAAACACGTTTTTATTAAACAAATTTTCTCCTATTCAGTAAATATTCATAGTTTACAGTATGTTTATTGTGTTCTGTTATCCATTTATTTGTTTCTTGTGTGAGTGTTGAAGAAGTCTGATATAGTTCAGTAGTAACTATGAGACTGCTCAAACATTCCATAGGACAAAAATGCTTTTGTAAGGCATGCGATCAGTTTCGATGTTGAGCACAATGTGGTTGTTTGTTCCTGTAAATATGCTTTCTCTTACTGTAAATTAGAGGTGATGATGGTAAACCTGTGTTATTTGTGGGAAACAAATGGATTAAGCATTTAGCGACAAAAACATCTGGTGGAAATCCCGGGAAAAACCATTTCGGAAACTACAGTACCCATGGATCTCTCAAAATTTGGTTAAAAACAAAAGTGATACCTTGTAATTATGTATCGGCGTTCGGAGCCTTACGCTCATGAAATTCAAATGTAGAGGTAGTGAATTGTTCAAAGAAGCATAGTAGCATATGTGCGGCTTCTCGAATCCTCAAACTTTGTCTATTTTATTCAAAAACTATCACAATCCGATGTCTGAATGTTTCTGAAGCAAAGTTTTGTTGTATGTTGATCACAAATGAAATGTCCTGGTTATTATAGACAAATAAGGTTTTTTCCAGAGCGTCAAGTTATTCAGTCGTACGGTTTTTTTAGTCCATACTGTTTGAGCACTTAGTTTTTAGCGGAAATGTATGAAGTCAGTTTTTGACAAATAATAACTTTTTTCACTTTTTTAAGTTGACTTGAAATTGATCATTCTTCAGTCTTCAGTAATAAGGATAGTAGGTTAGTGAACCTGTTTTAATCCTAACAGGTTGCTTTCCAGTGAAGGTCCAGTTTCTCTTTGAAAATATTCACTGATGGGGCTGATACCACTTGATCGGACAAAGCGTTCTAACCATTGACTACTCGATGAGAAGAACGGAACCCCACCTTGAGTTTATTAGATCGTGGTTTATGAACCTTCTTGCTATGACCTCGGAGATTATTAGTGCTGGAGGGAGCAAAAAGATAAGACATATTAACACACAAATCATAAGTAAAGATACGAAATGCCAGTATAAGTTCACCTCGAGTCCTACGATACGACAAGGGGAAAAGGTTTAGGCGTTTTAAACGCTCATCGTAAGGGAGTTTAGAAAGACCCTTCACTAATTTCGTTCCCACACGCTGGACACGCTCAAGTGAGATAGTATCCTTTATCAGACATGGGCTAGCTGCTTGAATACAGTACTCTAAATGTGGTCTTACATAGGTGGGATAAAAAATTCGAAACATTTCCTCGTCAAAGGATTTGAACGCTCGGCGAAGTGACCACAACTCACGAAAACCTTTGACAGCGGCTGCGTTGCAGTGTGTAGTTGTTTTCAAATCATGACTTATTATTACTCCTAAGTCTTTATGTTCTTGAAAGCATGGAAGAGGTTTACCATCAATAGTATAATGGTAACTATTGCCGTGACCGATGTGCATTAGCACACTCTTCCTAGAATTGATTTCTAAACCCCAATCTCGAGCCCATCTAACTAAATCGTCTAAGTCAGCTTGAAGATCCAGATGATCAGCCTCACCTCTTATTGCTCTCCATATTTTGACATCATGCGCAAATAATAATGTCGACACTGTTTTCTTGTTAAGTCTCGATGAACAATGACCAATGATTGGTCTTTAAGATACCAATATTATCTTTTTATTACAATGCGCACAGTTTAAAAATCTTTTTGTACTTTCTACTTTTTATTCTGTAACATACTTGCATTTGAATGCCTTTTACGGAAATTTACTTTAATAAAGTGACTAAAAGTAAACACTTTACTTAAAAATTTATCAAATATTAATGGAAAAACGGTAAGACATTTTAAGAATATAAAATGGACGCTTGTCTGCTAACACAAAGCAATATTCATCAAGTTTTAGTCACTCCTAAAAATGAAAAGACTCCAAAATACCCCAAAAGACACTCATAAATGGTACGTAAAAATGTAAGAAAACACGGAATACAAGAGCAAATAATTAAACATATAGTTTCAATCAAACCAGAAAAGGTCAAACTCATCATCATTCTTTGAAAACAAATAAAATTAGTTGTAAAACTAAATGAGCAAATTGAATTAAATAATCGCGGTCATAACGTTAGGTCTTAAATGTAAGAAGCACATCAGAAAACACTTGTTAACAATGATTGTCTCATTAGACTCAGTCACTTGACATGGATTTGGAATTCGCGAAACTAGCGGAGTAGATAGTTGTGATATTTAAGATCCTGAAACAATTATTTATTTATCTGAGTGATGAATAACTATATAAAGATAGTGGTGAAGTGGAGAAATTGAAATACTTCTAAATATTGATGGCAGAACCACTGAATTTTAAATATTAGTGCTGTATTTTGTTTACTTTTTTATACTATTTCGTAGACGTTAGTAAAGTAGGATTATGTGGGTACTTTAAGTGCTGTCAAAGGTAAAACATTTTTCACTGGTAAATTTCAGGTATTCTTGCAGCTGAAAAGGATCTAATTGAAAACATTCACAACATATTAGCTTTTAAGTAAAAAGAAGATAACGATGATTTGTGAAGACTTACCATAATTATTTCAAAACCGAAAGACTAGTAAGTATTAAGTAATGCCGTTTTTAGTCGTATGTTTGCTTTATCAAAGAACACCATCTGAAAAGTTTGTGAATTACACGTGCTGCAATAAAATATTGTTGGGTTGCACCGAAACTTTTTAAGGTGTATATTTCATATTCTTAACCACGATAAACATGAACTTGCTTACCACACCTACATACTCACAATAAATAACAAGTATGTGGTAATTCTAATGAGGTTTAAAAATATTATTATAAAAAATATTGTTTTACATCTTCATTGCATTTATTTTTACTTTTGATAAACGAATATGTGTACGTCGCTCGGTTTTTATAATACGAACACATTTATCTGGTTTCTATTTCCAACATTCTTCTTCAACGGTGTGCTTTTTTCCGAAATAATGTTTAACGGTTTATTTTTGTTGCTTCATATGCCAACTACATATAAATTTATTCCGAAATTAATGAAAGCTCAAACGTCTTTACAAGCTTGAATAGAGTTTAGCAAAAAGAGAGCCATCAATAAAAATGATTACATTATCTGAAATGATGTGATTCATAAGCTATTTTGTCTGGACGTGTGATTAATTTGTTGGTGAACCGGTTGCACTAGTCAGGCGGCACAACTAAAAATTTATTCATCGTAAGGTGACAGATACTACATTTTGTCGATAGAGGGCACATTAAACAGTCTAATCTCTAGGCAGTTCAGTTAGAATCCTTACATAATTTTCATATTCAATAACAATTGACAGTCATTATTACTGTTTTAAGCTGCAATGACTTGACAGATATATAATGCATTTAGTTTTTTAAAATGACTTGAGTTTATTTAAGTACTAGTGAAGGTGATTATGACTTCCGACCAAATTGCTCAATCATATTCTATTATGTAATAAGTTTTTCAACGGGCTATTCACAAAAATCCATTAAGCCTTTAAACAAAATAAAAGCACAAACCAATTTCGGGTACCCAGTACGTTTTTGATCAGAAAACTGCGACATGAATATTGCGAAAAGAAAAACCATCAATTTGATGTTTTACAATTTTGTCTGCTTGCAGCATTCATATTGAGATCTATAGCAAGAAAAAAACAAAAGCCAAGACCTAATAGCTAGGTAATGTACTTAGTAAGTGCTGGATACTCATCTAGTTTTTTTATTGTAACTTAATTTGCAGTGGAAAGTTTCTACATAACCCACAGTTTTGCACAGATTAGTAATAATGATGAGCTGATATATAAGTGGGTTAAAGTTTGTGATTAATCAAGTATAATACAGTAAACACTTTTCGGTATAAAAATATAAACCGTTAGTATCAAAGAAAGTTTTACCAGTAATTTTAGGAATAATAGTGTCTTGACATTTAGTACTCCTATTATTTCGCCAATGATGGCAACATGGTATTCCGTGTTACCATTTTTTACACAATTGCAGAAGAAAGTAAATTTTTAGTGTATCGTATGGGCAATATACGTCAGTCAGTCAGTCAGCTGCAACGTAGGACCAGGCACGTATATGCATCGGTCCAAGGTGCCATACCGCATTAGCACAACAAGATGAACACCGGATTCATAGGAGTAGTTAATTCAGTGGTGGTAATATATAGAAAAAAGAGTGTGTATAAGGAGATAGTACAGGAAGATAGAATTAGTTCGTAGAAAGAAAAATTTGAAGTGATTTTAATCTCTTAGTTTAAAGGAAGACAGAGAGTGTATACACCGACGCCATTGTGATCGATTCTGAGCCATGTCACCAAGAGTCTCCAACCATTGGTTACGATAGTCACGCGGACCCCAACCAGGTAGTCTGCATCTACCATCATGGCTCAGACCAGAAGTTAGTGACTTCAAGCACTGATGCCACGTTTTGGTTTGGCCGCCCCTAACTTTCTTCCAGTCATCCCTAACACCGGTTACCATTGCGCGTCGTGGTAATCTGTGTTCAGGCATACGCAGCACGTGGCCCAACCATCTTAGTCGATGAAGGTTCATAACCTCATCAACTGATTTACCATCATTCCCTAATACCCTGCGTCTAACCTCACTATTACTTACCCGGTGATCCCAGCAGATGCGAGCAATATTTCTAAGGCATCTGTGGTCAAATACTAGTAACTTACGAATATCTTCTACTCTTAAAGTCCAAGTTTCGCAGCCGTATAGTAGAACGGAACGAACTGCCGCGCAGTATACTCGTCCCTTAATTGATAGAAGGATATCTCGCCTTCGCCATAGGTGACGTAAGTTGGCAAAGGCCAAGCGAGCTTTTCGAATCCGTGCTGACCGTTGTTGCTATTCTGACCGTTGTTGCTACCTTGACGTGGTGGTCGGGCTTGCCTATCGTGATGAAGCAACTGAGTTATACTGGCTGGAACAACCTTTCCTCAAGGTCCTACCATGCCAGACAGGTCGGTTGAAGAGCGGTAAGACCAAGAGCAACAAAACCAAGGTCCGAAGGCGAAGTCGTACTGCTGACTGTACAGAGGTGTGACAGCAGTAAGGTGTTTCCTTCAGACAACCAGCATAACAGCGATGCTGTCTTCCCAAAAGGAGGGGAGGGGTTAGAAAAGGTCGACCCTAAAAATGCACACCTCGCCTTATCCCATGGATATCCGTCTCCGGCGGTAAGGTCTCAACAAGTACGGAGCTAACACAAAAATTACTCATAAAAAGGTTGTGTGTGACCGACCTCAAGCAGCTGTCCCTTGGGCACTGCGGTCACGCTCTCAGGTCACTATGACCACCTCTAATCCAATTTCCTTTTCAGGTACCCCCAGCAGAACCCTTCCACGGTGTGGGCAACCGGGAAGTGATAACCGCCCTCATACCTCTAACAGCAATCAAGACCACTGTATTCATAATCAACCTGGCAATATACGTGATCAGGAGTCAAGCCTCCAAAACACTGTCTTTTATGACATCATACATAACCACTCAATAGTTATGCATAAATTTTATTTTAACTGTTAGTGACGGTGACTGAATAGTAAGTTTATTTGTGCTACAAGGTACCTCTGATCCTGTAGTATCTAACCAACTTAACAATGTTGAGGGCTTTCAATACTATATGATATAGTAATGCAATTAGTTATCATGGACCTTGTTGTGTGAAGCTTCATTTAAAAATTCAGAATGACATGGTATTAATCACCGGTTTTTATGAAACTATACTGTAAATTGATAGTAAGTTTTATAGTATATAACTAATGAGGTGTTTTATCATATAATACTTTTCATAGCTTTTAAGTTAACTACTATGGCGTCAATATACCTGCAGTTGTGTACGTTGTTTGTGTTTATGGATGTGAAACAGGAACCTTCATACGTAGTTTTCCAGCTGTTAAAATAAATGCCTGTTTTGGCGTACATGTTAGTGGTGATAATTAAGTATCATGTTAAAAGCTTTAGGTGCAGATGAATAGAACCCGGTCTACCTTGGTACTTTTTGAAAATGTAAGGATGTTTGTGGTTCTGCTAGTTCGACAACATGCAAAAAAAACGATGTTAGTTTAGTATAAGGTTTCAACTCTTCTGTTGTCTAACGGCTTGATGTTATTTTCCAGAATTTCACCGAAGTGGTAAAAATAGTTTTATAGTTATGTATAATTAGATTATCATGCAAACGGAATGTACATGTTAGGGTCATTCTAATGGTCAATCAAATTAAAATCACTTCAAATCTTACTTTCTACGAACTAATTCTATCTTCCTGTACTATCTCCTTATACACACTCTTTCTTCTATATATTACCACCACTGAATTAACTACTTCTATGAATCCGGTGTTCATCTTGTTGTGCTAATGCGGTATGGCAACTTGGACCGATGCATATACGTGCCTGGTCCTACGTTGTAGCTGACTGACTGACTGACTCAATCAAATAGACATATTAGGTTTTGCATTTCTGGAATTACTGACTTGTGTTCAAAAATTTACTTTAATAATTGTTAATGTATGTGGTTTTGTAAATCTTTCAAAAAAAAATGGTGTTTCCTTATAAGTCATAATGTTTTGCTACTATGAATAGCTTTAATTGTTCTGTAGATTTTTGTAAGTCTAACTGGATCTAAACAAGTACCTTTTGACTTTTCTTTACAAAACATCGAATACATTTGTAAAATTAATAATCATGATCAAGTAACTTCGATGTTGTATTCATATTCAAAATTTTATTTCAGCTCAAATAACTACATGAAGATTATTAAAATCGATTTCAGGTATTTTACAATACTTAATGTTAGTTGATTTTATCTTCTTTGATCACCATTATTTCTAAATTTGTATTACTTACTATTATGTTAGTTCATTTCATCTATTCTCTTTAGTGTTTATAGTTTTATTAATGTGCTCTTTACGAACTAACTCAGTTGAAACAAAAAGTATGACATCATTATATTTGTTATAATTTGTGGTCATGTACCCTATTAATATATAACGTAATGATACTACCAATTTAGAGAACAGTAAATTATCGACTGAACAAATAACACATAAAAACCGGTACATTCAGTCTAGAGTCTTTACCGATCATTCTTCCTTACTAGCCCTGCCTATTGAGTCTAGGACAACAATCTTAGCCTCTGCAATAGGAATCATGTATTTCGAACATACTGGGTTTATATACAAACCAAACAGACCACATTGTACAATAAAATAGGAAATAACATTTGTACAAGATCTATCCAAATATGACTGAGAATGTGAGGTACTGTAATTAATAGACGGAGCATAACTCAAGAACGGTAAATTGTATTATAATGATAATAATAATAATAATAATAATCTATGGGTCAAAATAAAGCTTATAGTAAGAGAAATATGAATATGCATAGTTTAGTTACTTAACAACTGTACAATATAAATATATGTATCGTATCGGTCGATCAATAGTTCCCAAGAGTTACCATTCATAATACTTATAGGGATATAACAATATTTCTACAATCAGACTATATTTTTTGTCATCCACGATTTGTATAACAATATCACTACATAACTACTTATACTTTTGGAGTTGAGAAAGGAAGTACTTTATTTTGTCAATATTTTCTTTAAATTAGGACAAAATGATAAAATTTGACTAAATATGCATTAAAATATGCATGATTAATAGTTGAATTCTTGAGTCGATGCAAGTTAGACCACCATGGATATACCTGGAAGTACTGGACAGCTATTTCATCTTAATATGTAACTTTTCAGCAGTACGCATCCACAATACCACTTACATCAATTCATGAATTCAACTATTAAAAGTTGTACAATTTCCACAAACCTTACTTACTTACTTACTTACGCCTATTATTCCTAATGGAGCAGAGGCTGCCAACCAGCATTTCAACCCACTCTGTCCTGGACATTCTTTCCTAGTTCTATCCAATTTTTCTCATGTCTATCTCCATTTCCCGGCGCAATGTGTTCTTTGGTCTTCCTCTCCTCCTTCGACCTTGGGGATTCCATGTGAGGTCTTGTCTTGTGACGCAGTTGGGTGCTTTCTCAATGCGTGTTCTATCCTCTTCCATCGCTTCTTCCTGATTGTTTCCTCCACTGGAATCTGGTTTGTTCTCTCCCATAGTAGGTTGTTGCTAATAGTGTCTGACCAACGGATCCAAAGTATGTTGCGTAGACAACTGTTGATAAACACTTGTATGTTTTGGACGTGGCCTTCGTACTTATCCAAGTTGCCACCCCATGCAGTAGAACTGTTTTGACAATTGTTTTGAAAATTCTGACCTTAGTGTTGGTTGAGTGTTGTTCCGCCTGGAGGCCCTCTGGTTCTACTGCTAGTCCCAAGCCCGGATAAAGGAGAAGGGTTGGGTATAGGGTTAGCGACCACATCCCGTAGAAAACTAACTTATTCTGATAATAAACATTTAAAGTTACTCGAATGTATCTTTTTTTAAGTTAAGAGTACATATGACTAGGTGACATACATTTTTCTACGTAAACAAACTAGAATCTAATATTTAAGAAGAAATATTTATCAGTTTTTATCAATAAACAATTATCGTAGCAACGTTTTCACTAATAACTTAAAATTTTTGAATAACTATATAATTGTGTTTCATAATAGACGCCTATTGACATTAACTTTATTCATTTATACATCAACATTCTATAGTCTGTTACGTAGAATCTTCCTGAATTTGATACATATGACTTACATAATGGGTAATAATAAATACATCTAGTCAACTTTAAAGCTTTAAGTGACATTTGAATGTCAATTGACGACGATGATGTTGATTTGGATGATGATCATTTGTATGATGATGATTTTGCTGTTGATGATGGTGATATTAAACTATATGCATCATTTTACAGATGTTTACAAGTTACTTGGAAGTGAGCTGAAATACGATGAAAAGTGAGATTTCTGAGGTGTTACTTTCATTATGTATTATATAATCATTTGAAAAGATTAAAACAGTTGACAGGAATCAAAACCACGATCCCGTCTTGCAAGACTCGAACCCAGAACCCAACGGTCTCGCGCGCCGGCACTTTTCGTCTAGACCACTGAATTGACCGGCATCCAACGGTGTTAATGTCTAACTTTCACTATTCCAAAAAATTGAATGACACATTCATCATTGCCTTCAGTGAGTTACTATCTCACAACAGACCCGGTTGAACTCCACTGATCACTTCTTCTCACCAGAACTCCAGGAAATACCTATTGAATCCAGTCACTAGTGAGCATATGTTGATCATTATCAGAAGGGGATTATGTGAATATTATAGTAATTTCAGTAGTTGAGATCATGAGTCTATTGAAGCTAGACCACCATCAATATCCTAGATGCATTGAACGGCCGTTTCATCCTATTGTGAGACTCCACAGCAGTGCACCATCCAGTGCTTCCAGGTTTTTCATGATGCTCTATCTTCAATAGACTCATGATCTCAACTATTGAAATCGCTATAATATCTACAAAATCCCCTTCTGATAAAGATCGAAATGTTTGCAAGGCGTGGTTTTTAATAATTATTAGCACAATACGCCTAAATGATCTCTTTTACTGTTGATTATGTTTTACTAGATAACAAATCTGGTCATATGAAACAATATTTTTACACGTTACTCCATTATAAGAATAATTGTCAATCTAATAGCCTGATTTATGTAACTCTTGTTTATTAATATACGCGAAACAAATTATAATGATCAACATTTAGTTTTCACTATTCAGTATAATGATTTGTTTTATTTATAACCATAGTTTATGTTAGATTACCATTGTTATGTTCACCATTTATCAATGTATATGTTGTTTTTTTAAAGACATCTTTAAACAATCACATCTTGTTATAACGTGCCTTTTAATCAGGTTTAAAACTTTTGGATGTAACACATTATAATCATTTAACTAATATCAAAGATACTGGAATTGTGAATCAGACTTAATAAAGTTCAGTTTTGTTCACTGAGGAAAGCAAAGATCTAAAATTCAACTTCCTAATAGTCGATGAAAAACATTAAACTTATTCGTTAGAAAACAATAAAGTAAACATTAGGCCCTTTCTCCAAATAATCTACTTGTGTTAAAAGAAATACACGAAAATGCCTCAAATTTCTTATGTATGTGAAAGTAGGGTTATTGTATCAAAGATGTGAAAGGTTGTAGATTGCTGTGTTAATAATTGGTCCCTGTAACTTAATGACTACTATATGCCAGGTTAATGGTCATTAAAGTACCTTTTTTGCATGAATTGATCACTTACTTATATATGAGTTTCCAGATATAATCAGTAGTGAACTGTGAGTAATCGTTTAAACTGTAAGTTTAAATAAGATCAAAACGTGGCACAAATCTATGAAATCACTGGCAAGTGAACTGAGCCATGTTGGTAGGTGTAGACTACCTGGTTGGGATCCGCGAGATGATAGCAACCGATGGTTAGAGATCTTTAATGACATGGTTCAAAATCGTTTGCAATGGCGCATGTTCATCCACTCTTTGTGTTCTGACAAATTCTAATCTTCTGAATTCTTCATGTCTCCATTTTTTTGTCTTTCCAAATTTATTTCACAGGATTATACTCCTTGAATATCATCTTGAAACCCTAAAGTTTCCGATTACTGCTTATACTCTTACTACACCTCTACCACTATGGGATTTGAATTGACAATTGCAATTCTGTGCTAATGTGGTGTGACAACTCGAAGTGATGTACGTACGTACGTACGTACGAAGTTCTACGTTGTTACTGACTGGCTGAAATAAGAACATTTTACATACAGAAATTAAGGAAATTTTCCCTACTTAAAAAGCATTATATTATTATACTTTTAATTAAATATACTTCAACTCAATGTGAAATAGTGTTAATTTTAATGTTGTTTAGTTGAAGGTAGTTATATGCTTACAATCTTGATGGAAACTGGTGCTTTGAACAGGTCTCAAACCTAAGTCACTAAGATTAAAATTAAATAAAAATACAATTCGACTGGTTTCAAATAGTTGTTATGGTAAAAGTTCAAGAGAAAAACACTTTATTGTTTTAATAAAATATCCTAATGGGAAATAAAGGTCAACAATTTAATCGTCTAAATAATAATATCACTATGAGAAAAGTTACATTTAATCCAAAAACTGTTCACTTAAAGAACACTAAACCACTGATGATTAAAGTTCAGAAGGATTGCCCGAAATTCATTTGAAAATCAAATACTGATTAATTAATCAAAATCAGATGTTAGCCAGTTGTTATCGACGACTTTAGACTACACTCAGGCACTATCATGAGTTCACTAGGTTGAAAATATGAGATATGAAATTTCAACTAAGTAGTTGTTATATCTGTTCGTCGCTGTTTGTTGTGTCGGAAAATGCTGATCACTTATACTCGAAACAAGGGACCTCTGCAATTCCCATGACGCGAAAGTAAGAACACAAAGACTGGTATAAGTGAATGTTTATTAACCCCAAAACACGAAGACGACAACGATTCTAGTAGAAAATACACTCATTTATATGTTGATTGTACACCTAATTTGATTAATAATTAGAATGAAATCACATATATGAAAAGTACTTACAGTTATAACAATTCATATGCTGAGTATAGTTCATAGTCAATGGAATACAAGAATATCATACCGGGAAAACAAAACCTAATACTACATTGAGTAATCAAAACGGGAGTAATCTTGAATAAAATTCATAATACGTAAATCAATCGAATTTTGACTTTTCTTTCCATCATATCAGTA